CCCAAACTAACCCTTACCCTAACTTTAATTAAAAACAAAAAACACGTGACTGGACACGGCTTTAGACGTCCCCCAAAAACGCTTCTTTAAAATCCATTTCAAGAAAAATGGTAAGTTAGACTAATCATTCTAATTTGTGGGAAAAAGTATATAATTTTCTTAAATTAGGAATCATGAATACTCAGTGTTGGTGTTACGACCTATTAGCTAAATTATAAGTTACGATTTCCCGGCATCGCTTAATACGTAGTTTACATGTGGAGATTAATGATCACATACCGTATTTCTGCGACATGTGTACCCCTTGTGGGCTGTACCCTGCGGCGATTTTGGATGCCAAGGATATCACCGGGCATTTAATAGTAAAACGAGCTATGGGTACACATGTCGTAGAAATACGGTATATTTTATTTGGATAAAGTTGGTGCGAAAACTTTGTAATACAGTAGATCATCAACATTATAAATATAGGCCCAGTTTAGAAAAATCCCCCTTTTTTTATTAAAAAAAAAAAAATAGTTAAACCATCAAAAAATACGAACATGTCTACAAGTGTATTTATTTTGCCTTTTTTTTTGTTGTTTTTTTGTTCTAATGCCGGAAGTTATGGCTTAAATTATAAATATATTCCAAATGGTTTCATTGCATATAGACTTACAAATTTGAAGTTAACCCCATGACCTGTCAAAGTTGTTACAATTCTGTCGACAAGCTCCTAAAAGGTACTGAAGGTATGTATAAATCAAATTTTTTGCAGACTTTTTGCAGACTTTTTCCATTTCTAATTCTACGCTTTTACAATATCAACAGGTGTCTCAGAACACAAAATTGACCTTTCAAGTAAAACCGTCGAAGTTAAAACAACACTTTCACATGAAGAAATAATTGGGAAGATGCAAACAATCGGAAAAACAGCTGTTCTGAAGGAATAAGAACTTGCTCTCCATCCTTTTTTTTTTAGTAATTAGTTTTTTGCATCTACATGCACATGCATCTAGTTACTTTTAATTGACAGTTAATTATGTGAAATCGAAATAATCAATTCATTTGATCATAAAAATAAAATAAGCACTAAATGGCTATTATAATTTATTTATTAATAAAGTAAATTCCAATTGAAAATATAAATTTAAATGATATAATTATAGGTTGGAAGTACCGGAGATGAAAAACCATTTGTCAACTGCGTAAATTCAATGGGTCAATTAGTATTATAAATATTATTAGTAATAGTACTAATTTTGTTATAACTTACTTGATGGATCAATTGGGGCATGTTTGATTGGAGTAGCTGAGGGAAGAGATTGGTAAATGGGATCGTCAACAGTAATTTGACCAGGGCTTCCATCACACGTCAGGTTAGTGCTATACTCATTTAAAAGAATATTAATTAGAATCACAATAATCCATAATAAAAAGGTTACGAATAAAATAAAAGAATCGAAATAATTTCTTCGTACATGCTAATCTCATATTTATCAGTCTTGTCGGGAACTTGACCCTTAATTAAACGCCTCCAAGCTTCATGAGTTTCGTGAATAATTTCAGTAGCATATTTCTATAAGCAATTAATAAATGATAAGTCAAATATATTTATTGATACTTATGAAGTGAAAATATTAAACATCGTTAACCTTATTTTTGGCCTCCCCACTGAACGCAAATGAATTTTCAGGTTTACCATCCGGGATTTTATAAATACGGAACCATTCGTTTGTTGCTCGAATGAGGCCAGGCAAATGATTTTCGACATCTTCGATGTCTTTTGTACAAATGGCAACAAATTTAATTACTTTATTTAACAACTCGTGACATGTAATGAAATTTGAAATACTAACCATTCAATTTATTCGCCAAAGGATCGTTGATATCAATAACGATAACTTTCCAGTCAGTCTCCCCTAACAAAAATAACAAAAATAACAAAAATAATTAGTAAGCAAAAAGAATTAACATTAGCATATACAAGCTAAAAATTACCTTCGTCCAAAAGTGCCATAATGCCTAGAACCTTAACTTGCTTTATTTGTCCGCAATACCCTACTTGTTCCCCAATTTCACAGACATCGAGCGGATCATTATCACCTCTAGACTTGGTTTCGGGGTGGACTTGTGTAGGATCTTCCCAAGTCTATCAAATAATAGTTAATACGACATTGTTGATTAACGTTTATACATTCAATAAAAATTGTGTTTACCTGAGGGAAAGCACCATAATTCCAAATATAACCATGATGTGGGAAACAATTACGGACGTATCGAAGCTTACCCTTTTTCACATCCTGTTTAATTGGGTTAAAATCATCTTCCTTGGAAATCTAATTTGATATAAAATCAAACCACAATGAATGATTGAATTATTCACATTAGCGTTAAAATGATATCCGGTAATATATACCTCCATCTTAGCATTTGTCCACCTTGGAATTTCAACAATAAAATTCAAGACAGTTTTACTTTCATTTGCGAATAATGGGATATCATGGAAAGGTGAAATTACAGTGCCGGTCCTTTCTACACAAATTATGATAGCCTTAGAAAGCTTGACAGATTACATAGTAAAAAGAAAAACTTCAAGACTTTACCAATATAAAGTCTGTGTTCCAAAGTGTTTATAGCACCAACGTTTCGAACAGTATATTCCGACATTTTTTTGGGAATATTAAAATAAGCACACCGTAGTCGTTTAAAAGTAAAGTATGGAAGAAAATGCCTAATACTCCCGAAGAGTGCCAGTTTAGACTCGAAAAATTATCTAAATTATCTAAATATCGATATATCGATAATTATCTAAATTATCTATATTCGATATAGCAAAGATAGCAAAGATAGCAAAGATAATCTTGGTCAATGCAAAAAATGCTCGCGTGATAGCTGATGATTGGCCAATTACTTATATGATATGATAGTTGAATTTATTGAGTCTAAACGATTTAAGCTATATATGCCTAATTTTTGACATAAAAAGAATAGCAATATCGATACGTATGTGATAACCATTCGTATAGCATCATGTAACTAACTAGAGCTGGGAAAATGTTTGAACAATACTTGATATTTAAAAGTTGGCCATGTTTACTTTTTTCAGCAGTGCAGTATTATAATTTATATAACAATAACAATTCAAATTTTTTTTTTAATTTTTTTACTAAACCAAATAAAGCATCCATATTACTATATTAAGGTAAATATGTTATATACCAATGAAAAGAGTCCGAACCGCTGAACAATGCAAACTGTTCCACTATCATGAGGATATAGGATAACTTTCTCGTGATTGGTCGTCACATGAAATTGAATAACACGTTATTATTGGCCAATTGTGAAA